TTGACCAACTGGTCAAATTGGTCAAACTGGTCTGGTCAAGCTTGACCATTGACCGGTCTGTGCCAACTCTGATTATAGTATATTAAAAACTCAGAATTTTAATTATATAAAAATTGTTATTTGTATTTTTGTAAAATTTTTAACATTTTTAATACAGGCAAATCTCTAAATGCATAGCTGAGAAGTAGTCAAAAAATCTTACATTTAGAGAGGTATTGCATTAAGGGGGGGGCAAATATAAATATATATTTATATATTTTATAAAGTTAATTTATTTTTAAAATTTAAATTTTTTAAAATTGTACTAAATTTAGTACGGCAAACGGATAGCCATTAATATTTTGTTGGCGAAACTCTAAAATTGACAATCAAACTAGCGTTTAAAACAACAATTATAATTTGCTCTTGGTCTCGTAGCGATCAATAATTTCAAGACCCATTAAAGCACAATCTTTAAAAATTTTAGCATAGGCATTTGCTTTAGCAGAACTAGCTTGTTTACGGGCTATACGTGCAGCAATTCCTTGCAAGATAACAGCGGTCTAAAAAAGTTAAAAACAAACTTAATTTTTTTTATAAAACCCAAACAATCTAAAAATGATACTGAAATCGGATGATGCTGAAATCTCATTTAAAAATATAAACCCTACTAAAATCTACCTATACTTTTTTATTATAAACACTAACCCTAAACCCCAACCTAACTCTCAAAAAAGGCTGAAAAAAGCGCCCCAAAATTTCATATTACCGTATCCTATCGTGAATAAGCACTACACCCTCTACCCCACTTTTTTTAAATATCAGATTAGCGGTAATAATTTGGCTAAGACTTCATTGCGATTTCCGCTAATCTGACATTTAAAGGGTGTAGTGCTTATTCACGATAGGATACGGTAAGTCAAAATTTCAACATCCGATTTCAGTATCATCCCGACAAAAAATACGCCAAAAATTAATACCCGAAACAATGTAAACGCGATAGCAAATTCAAAATTCGGTATTGGATACTGTCGACCAGATTTTTCACAATAAGCTTGAATTAATTCATTAGCTGATGGAATTGGTAAATTTTTAACATCACGTAAGCCAGTTATAGGGGAACCAGGAAGGTCTTTAGTAAAAAAATTCATTGACAAGTTTGCAAGATCAGAAAGTGGATGGCCTATAGTTGAAAGTTCCCAATCTAATATTCCAATAACTCGTGATTCGGTTGGATGAAAGACCTTTTTTAAATTATTGACATAAATTATTGACATAATTTACTCATAATATGAAAATATAATTGCATAGAATTTATAAAAATTGGTGTATTTCGAGACTTACTAGATTATCAATCTACATTATAAATCAAAATATAAATTATCCAACACTTCTAAAATACGATTCAATTATAGCTGTTTTCAAAAATAGTGTAAGCAAGCATGCATCATTGTATTGTGGGAAATCGCATGATTTCCCGATTTTCCTGATTTTGTGAATAATGGAAATTATAGCAGTTTGCAAAAAGATATGACTCGTGATAACGACAGTGGAAAATCTCAGAGATTCTAGATTCTCTATCAATCATATATTCGATTAGTGATATCTATATATATTTGGAAATATGTATAATTTCTTTAGAACCGAAAATCGTCTAATTTTCCGCGATTTTATATTACACGATGATCTGAAGATGTCACACCTTTTTGCAAACCGCAATAAGGGAATCAAAGGGAAATCAAGGAAATCGTGTAAATTTCCCACGATATAATGGTGCGCACCTGCTTACACCTTTTTGAAAACGGCTGTAATAAATTCTAAATGAATGATCTACCTTAAAATCCCCATGAATAATAGATGTATCATCCAAAATTTCATTATTTTTAAACCATTGAATCATGTCATTGAGTCTTGGAAGAGAGCCTACTTTATTACCTTTATCATCCATTGTAGCAGCCTGGGCTTCTGAAACTTTGAACAATGAACGAATTTGTCGAGAATAGAATCCTGATGGCTTTCCATAATTCACAAGCCCTATGGACTTATAATCAACTGAGTGAAGTTTTACAAGGGTGTCAATGGCTGAATACCAACTGATTAAAATGAAAGAAATTATAAAAGCCGTTAATAACAAATATTTTATAAAATTAAATAATGTTAATACAGTATTAATATTATTTTGTTAATTACCATTTTCTGCGTTCTTCAATAGGAAGTGGTGAGAACAGTACATCTTCAAAAATTCTTCCCTCCAAGTATTCCATTATCTGAGTAATTAAATTAATTATATTTTATTAATTTACATTTGTTTATTTTGTGATTACTTAAAGAAAAAAAATCTTACATAAAATGGTGTTCCTAATATTTCATTATCTTCACAAAGAAGATACACTTTTGGCACAGGTACATCAGTGTTACGGCCTAACGCATCAAGTACTTTAAATTCTCGCTCAACAGCATGGGCTGTTTTAGATAAAAGTGTTCCCGGAGGTTTCTTTCGAAGCACATAGTATTTTTTACTATTATAATAAATTATTTAATTTTTTCATGAAACATTGAACTAAAAAATTGTCGCGGTTGAAGCTGGAAATGGCTGAAGCTGGAAATTAGAGACCTCGACTTGAAAATATAAATTCTACCAAAATCCGCTTATACACGTTTATTATCAAATCTAACCCTAAATCTTAAGCTAACTATTAAGGAAGCTAAAAAAAAAAAAAAGCTAAACACCCCAAAAATTTTGAAAATTTTATATTATTTAAAATTTCCAGCTTCAGCCTCGACAAAAATTTTGAAAATATTACTTAGCATCTATTAAGAGATAAGTAGGATTACTTTGTCCAACTTTAAATTGTCGAATTTTTAAAGGAGTTTTGAAACCTGATATTTTCAAAACGAGATATTGTTCAAGTTTTGAAACATCTATCGAAAGCCTTTAGAGAAGATAATTCCAATTAATAAAAATGAAGGATTAATTTGAATTAATAAATTTATTACCGAACAATCGATGTTCCTGGAATATTATCGTTATCGTTAGAATTTGACATTGAAAAAATTGATCTGCTTTCACAACTAAATACAATATCCTATATATATATGGTGCGAACAGCATAGTCGCATCAAATATTTTACGTATATAAAAATTGCAAAAACTTTTTATCTAAAGTTTAATTACAAAAAAACTATATATATTTAAGTAGCTTTTGATAAGATCTATTAAACTATGTATTTAGTTTGAAGTCTTTTTATAAACATTCTAATTTTTAAAAAATTTAACCAATTTTATAAGTAATGATCAGCAGCACTATCATAAAAATTTGATGCATTCGTTCCATATTTATTTTATTATATTTTTTTTTCCTATCCTAATCCTCCTAATTAGGGCTAGTCACTTTCTGCTGCGATGGACGCTTGCTTTACATTTTGATTTATGCAAGTTATGCGATAAATTTTTTTAGAATTATGCTAGTATAAATATGCAAAATGTGCTATCGTATATGCTTCTGCGATAAAATCGAATTTATTATTTTTTTTTTTTAATATTATCCCTTAAACTGTAGGCTTTTCCAGGCAAATTTGCCTGGAAAATTATCATAAATATGGTTATGATCTACT